TTTCTTTGTTCAAGGCATGAAATTATTCACACTGAGAGGGAAAAACACAAATGTCAGTTTTGTGGTAAAAGCTTCTTCAAGAAGGAAGATTGCTTGCGCCATGAAGAAATTGTACACAAAGGTTCTATGACTGAAGAGAGACCCTACAAATGCCAGTACTGTGATCTAACTTTTTCTCGCAAAAACAACTGTGTTGTCCATGAACGAACACACACTGGTGAAAAACCATTCCAGTGTCAATACTGTGACAAAGCTTTCTCCATAAAAGGTACACTAATTAACCATGAGAGAACTCATACTGGTGAAGCTCCATTCAAATGCCAGTTCTGTGACAAGACATTTAAATTAAAGGGGGGCTGTGTAGGTCATGAAAAAATCCACACTGGTGAAAGACCTTACCAATGTCAGTACTGTGAAATGTCATTTCCTGTAAGTCATACCTTAAAAAGACATGTAGAGCGACGCCATGCAGATCAGCTCAAAAAGACAACTACAGGACATGTAGTATAAAAGACCATATTGATAAATATAACAACACATTGTCCTCTGTTAAGCAAGTGCTGTTTTATTGAAATAGAACTCATTGTACTCCACTGCAAGCACGCTACTGTAAACAATTTATTGATAATTAAGGTCTAATAGTTGAATTTAGAATTTACATTACATTACATCACATAAGTAGCTGTGAATGTATCTGTGCAAGAAATGTAATAAAATTGGATAACATATACTTTTGAATTGTTGATGTTTAAATGTCAGGCCCATTGTGTTAACTAAGGGGGGGGGGGGGGGGCAAAAAAGACACTTTTCACTGAACACCACCCCTGCTGGCTTCAGGCCTGAATATGTTTAGAACTGTTTAGATGTTTAGAACTGTAGAGATGTTTAGAGAATACCAATTGTGTCACAATAATTGTTGTGAGAGTCACGCCACAGATGGAAGACCATGATTCATCAACAATGTTGACACATATATGCCAAATGCAATCACAATATGCCCTTGAAGACACCATTACAGAAAGAAATTTCAACACTCTCTCTTCTAGTGAGTGTGTGTGTGTTGTGCTTTCCTGGGGACAGCCATAAGCCTGAAAGCTTGATTAAAGCAGATAAGTAATCCTGTAGATATGAAAAATGATTTATTCAACCACAGTAATAATATTTTCCAGGTGAAAATGTGACAAATATTACACCACTATTTTTGTTTAATTTAATAGTAGCGTTAAAAAGTTTTCAACAGAAACAAATATCATGATCAATGGGTTTTGTTCCACGTTGGAAAACAATCTTTATGTTAGAAGTGACCCAAGATGTCCGCGCCCATTCGCTGAGACAGGCGTCATTTCTTGTACATGATAAATAAATTTACGAAGAAGTAACGCCTTGTCTCCCAACAATCCCAGGGGTTAGGTGCTGCGTGATATATCTTAGTTTAGATTGCTGATGGGATTTTAGGTCATCCTGTCCAAGTATCAATGTCTTGCCCACAGGACGCTGCAGCGCAGGTGAGCTCACTTTATAGCGTTCCTCCTCTTTGGTTGGATTTGAAGTTGATCATTAAATTTTTTTGTCAGTGAGGCACGGTCCTACGAAAATACGAAAACCGCGAAAACCGCGAAAACCAGAAGTTGCTAGGCGAAAACCTCACTATAACTTACCAATTCTCGATGTTCTCGACAAATTGCTGTAATATTTGGATAACTTGGACCATATTACATACATCATGACCTTTGATAACGATGTTGTAATGAATTGAGTATGTTACAGCGTGAGGCATACCTCCTCCCTTGGTCACCCGAATGCACTTTTGCTTTAATCATAAAAAATTTAACTAAATATTTATCATATTCTTAAATTAATCGCTGAAGGCAAGACAAGTTTTTGAAGCAGGCGGTGTCCGTTTTATTGGATTCTACTTCTACAGTAGCTGGAGCTACACTCTACATGTACGGAGTGCTTAAGCATGATTGCTAAACAATTGTTGAATGCATGAATGATGTAGACTGTGGTAATTTACTGATAAATTGTGTATGAGTGTAAAATTGTTTGAAATGCAAGTAAATGATGCCTCAATATCAGGCGTGAAAGACTTATTCAGGTTTTGGACTTTGAGACGTTTTTTTTTTTAGCACTGAGGATTTGATTTGAATAAGTAAAGCAACTGAGTCATGTTAGAAATTTCATTGTATTAAAGTGAAATGATAGCATGCTTTGTTTACATATTATTACTATATTAGACAAGAATTCATTGAATAATAATTATAGGAAAAGTTTTGATGCAGTAAAATGTAGGATTTTGGACATTCATCTTTTATCAATCCAATTAATTTTTTTTCCTGATACATGTTATATCCACAGGCTCTATAGTGACCGCATGTGAGATGTGGAATGCATGCAATTATTATATTTTTTTCTTTGCAGTTATCTTTAACAAATTATGAACTCCTCAAGAAATTTGGACATTCAAGGCAGCAGCATGAATATTGAGCCAGTTCAAGAGAAATATGTGGATTTCAAAACTTCATCTGGCATTACAGAAAATGAATCCATGGTTGGACCAGTCATTCCCTCTTTTGACTTGGAAGCAGCCAATATTAAAATAACTGAAGAAAATATGATGTCAAATGGAGCTGGGAGTTTAAAGGACATTCAGTTGGGTTTGCAGATATCTTTCAAAAATGGTGCAAGCGGTCACTCTCCTGGAAAACCTCATAAGTGCCAGTACTGTGGCAAGTCATTTCGGGATAAACAAACTTGTGTGGGTCATGAAAGCATTCACACTGGTGAGAAACTGTTCAAATGCAGATATTGTGATAAGACATATACTCTCAAAGCCAATTGCTTACAACACGAAAAAACTCATGCTTCAGATAAGCCATTTAAATGCCAACACTGTGAGAAAGCATTTGTAGAGAAGACTCATCTGCTGACACATGAAAGGTTTCACACTGGAGAAAAACCATACAAATGTCAGAATTGTGAAAAAGCCTTTGCTGTCAAAAGTAATCTGATGCGTCATGAAGTAATTCACACTGGAGAGAAACCATTCATATGCCAATACTGTGATAAGTCTTTTAGCAGAAAAAACAGCTGTATACAGCATGAAAGAACTCACACTGGGGAGAAACCGTACAACTGCAAGTATTGTGAAAAGACATTTGCCGTCAAGGGCAATTGTTCACTGCATGAAAGGAACCACACAGGGGAGAAGCCATACAAATGCCAGTTCTGCAATAAGCCATTTAAAGAAAGAACTGATTGTCTGAGACATGAAAGAATTCACACTGGAGAAAAACCATATAAATGTAATAAATGTGAAAAATCTTTTCGCCTCAAAAGTCAAATAACAAATCATGAAAAAACCCACACTGGGGAGAAACCATTCAAGTGTCAGTACTGTGAGAAAAGGTTTTCATGGAAAGACAGCTGTACTAAACATGAGTTACTTCACACAACAAGAGAAACTTACAAATGCCAGTACTGTGAAAAGATATTTTTCAAAAAAAGGGATTACATTGTTCATGAAGGTACAGTTCACTCTCACAGGTAAATATACAAGTAAAGAAAATACCAGTTGTGTATAATATCTATCCTCTATTATTTACCATTTTTAATGGTTTGTTTTACACAAATTTTGTTTATTTTTTATTTCTCCTTTTGCATTTGTATTTTCACATTAATTGTTTTACCAGGTCTTGCACGTAGGGAATCATCAAAATCACAAAAAAATAATTTATTGTTGACCAAAGGCTATTTTGAATTCCATCTGTACCCTAAATTCTAAATTTAACTTTAAAAAAAATCTTTTGAAATTTTTTCTATCTTTCTTTAATTACTTTCTCTCTTAGACCTGAAATTAACTCTAATAATTTCAGTTTGTCCTTTTCAGTTTAATTTTACCAAATTCCACAGATAACTACAAAGAAAGCAGCAATATGACAAGACATTTGGAAGTCAGGCTTTCCAACCATACCAGCAAACTGGAAAAACCTAAAAAAATCTCTGCAATAAAAAGCATTCTACAAAATGGAGCTGGAAGCTTGGCAGATGTTCAGTTGAATCGCCAAACACAATTCGCTCAGAACGAGGCTGTGGAACAGAGATTTGAGGAAGACCGTGGAGATGACATGGCTACCACTGTAAAAGTAGAGCCCATGGATGATGATTTTGAGAATGCCCAAACTTTAAATGAGGGAGTTGACCCTGAACAACTGGAACACAACTTAGGTCATGATAAAACTAAGATTAATGGTGTAAAGGTGGGATCAGTTGGCTACTTTGCCAACTCCTTAAAGCATAAAAACTCAGACAAAACAACCCATCAAAAAAATATGTCTAAAAATGGTGAGATCATGGTGAATTATGAGACATTCTCCAGTCAGATTGGTGACCATAGCACAGAGAACAGTGAAGCATTGCACACTAGTGTTAAAGTTGAGCCAGTTGATCCTTCTGACCATAGCATGACAGTGGAAATATCAAACAAGAATGATGCTCAAGAGAGCGTTTTGGAAAACGGAGCTCAGAATTTGTCAGATATGCCTTTGAATTGTCAGATCACGACTGATCAAATTAGCAGTAAGCAACAGGGAATGATTAAATGTCAGAACTGTGGTAAAATATACATAGGTGATAAAATTGCATGTAAACATAAGGTACCAGCTGAAGAAAAAAATTTTTGCCAATATTGCAAATTGACATTGGCTAAGGATTGGCTAATAGATTGTCTTTTGAAGGAGTGAATTTGCAGGCAAATTAGAGACTGTCGTTGTATAAAGACTTTAACAGAACAGTATTTTCAGGTGTATATCACATTCCAGAGACAGTAGTAAGACAAAGCTTTTGCCATGAAAGGAGCACTTTAATTAACTACAAGAGGACTCATACTGATGAAACACCTTGTTAAAACATGCCGGCACTGTTACAAGGCATATAGATTTAAAGGTAACTGTGTGGATCACGAAAAAAATTAACACTGGTGAAATACCTTATCATGTCAATACAGTAATTTATTTTTTAAAAATATATGTAGAGGGTATTCATGACAGTCATCATAGTATACAACTTCAGGGCATCTAGTGTAGCAGACAGTATTGATAAGTGCAATTTATGATATTTCTTTTGTCAAAGAAGTGGTGTTTTAATTGAATTTAAGAGTCACCATTTTATTCCACTGCAAGCATAAGCATACAACAGCAAAAAAAATTCAAAACATTATATTGGGGCTTAATAGTCCAAATTTACATTTAATTGATTTATATATTTGATGTGTATTATAACCGCATTTAATTAGAAAATATAAGATATGTAGAGCTCAGTAATATGTGATGAAAAATCCAAGAGAATTAAGATATGTATTGCTGTAAGACTTACCTCTAATTAGGTAATGTTAAAAAATCCTTTAAATTATGGCTTAGATTTTTACACATGAAAAACAAAATTGGATAGCAAGTGCAACTGAAATTTTGATGCTTAAATGTGTTAGGGAAGGCAATGTGGTTGAGGCGACTGATTGTGTCATAATTAAAGAGAGATTACGACAATTATATCCATTTCTCAACAATCCTGTCAACCCTGCATGTTGCACACTTACGTTTGCAAACATGTTAGTATGCAGAATAATTACCAATGCATGAAAAACTTTTAGAAGTAAGGTATAATTGATGGGGCATGTAGATTCTCAACAGGTGAATCTCTACCTTTTCGAGTCAGGTCAAGGAAAATCACACTCAACTCCCCCCCCCTCCCCCCCAACTCCGTCAGCCGTTGTAATTGAATCTGATTTAAGCAATCACATATGTATTCTTATAATCACAAAATATAACACACAATTAATATTCAATTTCATCATAAATTAAATATTCAACAAGATTATCATTTTCTAAAAAGTGCCGTTCCGTGGTGGAAAACAATCTTTATGTTATCAATAGCCAAGATGTCCGCGCCCACTCGCTGTGAGACTGGCGTCATTTCCTGTACATAATAAATGGCATTCAAGGAGAAGAANTGTGTGTAATTTTCACTGTACCTCATTCTGGCATTTCCAAAGTTAAACTCTTATCAGCCTGACACCTTAGGGACTATGTCCAGACCCTATCACGCTAACTGTGGATCGATCTATCTCCATGGGAATTCTTGCTAAATTGCAATCAAGTGGCTTAGCTGTCCGTCACGCCTACTGAAACTGGCATGCCAGAATCCTAAGACTCTCAAGCTGAAAGCAATTTAGTGAGAAACCCCTTGGAGTTGGATTGATCCTGTTAGATTGATCTAGGTAAGGGAACTCAGTCTAATGCTTGATACACATTTTACTTTCATCCTAATCCAATGTTATGCAGAATTTGAATTTGATGTTGGCTATGCAGTTACAGTAAGCATAATACATTAGTTCATCATAATTGACAGTATCCTATTTCCTGCGTTTTTATTTTCTGTTTTTTGTCTGTACATTTGACAGCTTTGCTGCCTTGTTTTATTTATTGAACCTGTAGGTTTTGTTCAGATAAATTACAGTTAAACAATGATCAGGAGAAAGACAGTTCTATTAATTTGACATTTTCTTTCAAAACATTGTTATAGGAAACATAGATGGCGGTATGTTACAAGAAGAAAGACTTCTCAAATTACCTGCATCACCCCAGACCAGGCACTCTACCTCACAAGGCAGTGAGGAGATAAGGACATATAATCTCAAACATACGTTCCTGAGGAGATTCTCCATCACTCCTGAAGGTGGACATGTTCATCTGAAGGAAGTTGGAGTATTCCTGTTAGTGCCTCCGGGAGCTCTGGCTGAAACTACAGAAATGTTCATTGGTATTAGTTGGAGAGAAGAAGATATGCCACCGCTGCCACCATGTCAGACTAGAGCAAGTCCAGTTGTTGTCTGTGGACCACATGGCCTGATGTTCAAAACACCAGTCTGCCTGTCATTTTATCACTGTATATCAGGCACACGTCAAAGAAAGATGGGAAAGATCTGTCCTGAAAATCTAACTCAGAATTCAAGACTGGACAATCCATTTTACATATGGCAGTCAAAAACTCACTTAAATGCCCCTTGTCAGTGGAAAGTATTGAGCAGTGATTCTGTTGTGTTGACAAACACCAAATGTATCTTAATTGTGAACCAGTTCTGCAAACATAGTTTGTCATGTGACAGTAAGCGTCTTTCTGCCTTGGTGTTTGGGTCATTTCAGCCTCGACCTGCCCCTTTGCTGAAACTGATGGTGTGCTGTGTCAATGACACCAGAGATGAGGTTGAGGTGAGACTTTATATATATATATATATATATATATATATATATATATATATATATATTTTGTGTGTGACTATTTCTGACATATTAATATAATATCTATGCCGTGAATGGCTGCTAATAACTGTTTAAGATGTTGTTGATCACTGTATTTTATACCCTTAGTTATTTTAACTCTTTCATTTTAGGACATGGCCAAACAAGTCATTTGTCATCATATCGGTTGCATTTGTTTGGGGAGATTGTTATTTTGATACCCCTAAAATGCTTGTACTTGTATGTTGCTGTTGAAAAGTAAATTTTGATACCCCTAAAATGCTTGTACTTGTATGTTGCTGTTGAAAAGTTAATATTTTTGCTGGAATGTTGTAGATTGTGAGAACTAATGCTAAGGAATCTCTCCAAATGGAGATGTTAGCTCTGGAAAAGCAGTTTCATTTCTTAACTTGTGAGTACAGTGAGAGTGAAGACAAGGAGTCCTATGATGTCAGCCTTTTGTTGGACAGGTTTGATACAAAGTGGAGCATACATGAGGATTGTCCTAGAAAGGTTGGTTTTTATCAGTTATATTTCCCAATGTGGTGCAACAAAGATAAGGACACTATAATAAGACTCCGTTCACATGGAAAATCTATTTTCTAAAAATCTATTTTCTATTTGCGGTATCTTATAATCACGGTCCCTGTGCCCTGATAACTTCGCGGCGTAATTACTGGCGTCGCGAGCCAGTTACTTTCAAAGCTGTAATTAATTCTCAGGATATTCAGGGCACAGGGACCGTGATTACAAGATACTGCGAATAGAAAATAGATTTTTAGAAAATAGACTCTCCATGTGAACGGTCCCTAAGAAGGTCATTTTAGGCATAAAGATCATGTATTTTGATGATCGTGGCAGATTGGTGTAAAAATATCAAAGATGGTGTCTTAGATAATGGTAAAGAGAGAATGCTAATAAACAAAATCTAAAAAAAATACCCTTTCTTCATTCTAGGTTATAAATTATGTGAAATTGCTCAAAAATAAAAAGAATATGTAACATATTCCCTGAGCCATAAAATGGCAGACGGACCTGATGTATTTGTCTGCAAGATACATGTAAAGCAGGAAGTATCTGAGGATCAGGAAAAGGACATCAAAGAGCTGACATCTACAGAGTTTGACATCCACTGGATGTTACCAGTAAGTTAATAGGCTGGAAACTGGGTAACTGTAATGTGATGAGACATTACCATATCCTCACTGTTATATTGTCTTTGTATGATATTACAGTTACTGTAGCAAAATACAGTTGTTGCAGCTATAGGCTTGGTTTAAACTGAAGCTTTGATGTCGTTTAGTAATCCCAAGTTCGGATGGAATTTTATCAAGTGAACACAGAAATGTCAGGTCTGTAACTACCTTGATTCATGTTCACATATTTAAATATAATATAATTAAAATACATTTGAAAAATTATTGATAACATTGTTTCATACAGTAGCAGTGGAGATCCAAGGGGTAGACTGAGGTAAACTCACTGCAATTATTGACCTCAAGTGACTGCCTCTCAACTAAATGGCAGTCTTTAAAATCCATGGTTATGTATGTAAGAGCAAAGGTTTTCTTTTCAGTTACCATTGTTGTGTTGATAAACACAACCAGAATAGAAGTACCCCTCCTTACTAACTCTGAGTATTTAATTCAAATAAATACTGCTGCTAGGCCACTGATGCAATCATTACTTCCTGGTTTATTTTTCAGTTTGCCCCCCCTATGGACTTATACAATTTTGATAGTTATTCTGGTGGTCCAGCAAGCCTAAGATCTGCTCCACAATGGAGTTCACACCCACTGCCAGGAGCTGGTGAAGAACAGAGGCATGGTGGCAACAACTTTCAGTCGAGACCAAACCAGCAGTATTACCAAAAAGACCCATACCAACAGAATCAACCTAGGTTTCAATTCAACACTGGCAACCAGCAGTATGACTTACAATCTCAAACAGCAAGGAAGGTGGTTGTACGGGGACAAAATGAGCAGAATGAGCAAACTCCACAATCGGAGTTTAGCAACCAATTTTGTGTCATTGACATCCCAGATAAACTTCAGGTGAGGCTTAAATTATTATTCAAGTGTGTGTGTGTGTGTGTGTGTGTGTGTGTGTGTAACTTATGACTATTCCTGACATAATTTCAATGTTGTAGGTGATAGCTGAAAACTGTAAAGTTGTTATTGCTCATTGTATTGTCTTAAGTTGTTTTTAATTTCTGGAATTGGAATGTGCATTCTTTTCAATTTATCATTTTCAAGACATAGCCCAAAAAGTAATTTTGACAGCATATCTGTTGCATTTACCGGGGTATTTGTGGAGATTGGATTACTCTCTTTATGTTTTGATACCAACAAAAGGCTTGTATGTTGCTGTTGAATTTTGTTGGACTGTTGCAGAGTATAATAAGTTAAGGAATATCTCCTATCAAAGTTACTGAAACTTTATACTATTATTACATCTATTGTGTGATTCAGCCCTAAGCGTTGACACCATTCAGTTATCCCAGCTTCAGGTTGATCTTAAGTTAGGACCAAAATGCAGTCTATAACCCCTTTGTTTTATGTTCACAAATTTAATGATAATTTAATGAAGACACATTCTAATGTTAAAATGATAAAAGAACTTATTGATGACATCAGCACAAACAGTGGCAGTGGAGATCTAAGGTGAACAGTGAGGTAAACTCACTACAATTATTGACCTCAGGTGATTGCCTCTCAACCAGTTGGCTATCTTTAATAGTCAGGGTTATGTAAGAGCAAAGGTGGCTCTCTTTAGAAAACAGTGAATAATAATAACCATGTCTATTTATAGTCTATATCCATATAAATGTTTACAGGGGTAACAGAATAGAATAAGATAAATTAAGTAAATAACTAAGATATAAAATATATAGTACAATGTTAATAAATATATTGAGTACAATGTTAATAAATATATTGACAGTTAAAATGTTAAGATATTAAAATAGTACAACCTTAAGGTAAAAAGCCAGGCAAATCTTAACTTTTTGAGAATACAAGGATACAAATAAATAAGGTATTAAGATATGGAGTACAATATGAATGTTTATAGATCTATTTTACAAATGGTAGCTATCTTTGGAGGTCACATGGTTTAATGGCAAGAAGCAAATGGGGGGGGGGGTAATTTTTAAGCAAAAAAATAGGGGAAGCTGAATCAACTTTGAAAATGACAGATAAGGGGGGTTCTTGAGGGCAGTTATTTGGTCCCTTACTAAAAAGTCCTATAGGATCCTATAAGATCATATAGGACTTTTTCGTTAGGGGTAAGATGTAAACGATTTCAAGTATTTTCATTTTTCAATGTAATTTTAAATGTCTGTTAAAATTTGCAATAATAGTGAAATAATTGTACATCTCATCATGCATAATTCAAGTTAAGCACCATATGGTACGGAATGCTTGACATTGACCTGTTTTAATGCATCTTTTTTATGATTTATATACCATTGTTTGTACAAAGACTTATCTCCCTAGATGCATGTATGATTAAAATATCACCAGTTTTTGACTGATTGAATTTTATTTTATTTTATTTTATTTTATTTTATTTTATTTTATTTTTTGACTGTCCTTTAATGATACTACAGGGTAGCCAGTTAGTTGGGAAAATAAAATTCCCAGACTCTTCACTGATCAGGATATTTTTTATTGGCTGCCTAATAACACCTAATTTTCCCGGCTCCACCTCACCAACAACCTTTCAATCCTTCCATAATTGTTTTTTTTTTGTTTTGTTTTGTTTTTTTTTTTAATCAAACCAACTTTTATTATGTAATGCATGCACCATTACCTCCAGCTGTTCTCATACACATGTCCCGAGTCCAAGCTTGTGACCTAATTTAATGGTACATGTTTTAAATTGTGATATTGCCATATAGGCCTTAGAGTGGAGACTTGGCACATTGAGATTCAAGTCCTGCTCTCAAAACAATTGACTGGCCTTGGTATTATGATAATAAGTCTGCATATCTGGTTTCTCATGAATTTATGGCAACATTGTGAAATTTGTTTTCTCATCTGGTGTTTTCATTGTGTGGATATAAACACTCATGGACCTGAAGCTTTATGCTAGTTACATATTCCAAATCTCCATGTTATAATTTCCTACTGAGCATAATTTAACTTTGGTTTTGCTGTTATTGCTTCAAAAAAATCTATTGTTTCCTCCTTTTTGTTTGCACATTTGACAGCAACCTTTTCATTTCTCTTCTTTAAGAGAAGCCAAGGAAGTCTTTCTGGCCCTTGCAGAATTGCAGAAGAGGATCACTTCAGCAATATCCCTGTGTTTGGAAAAATCCTGCTCAGTATGAAGTATGACTACAGAAAAGGATGGCTGATTATACATATTTACAGATGCCAAGACCTTGCTCCAGCTGATGTGAAGAAGAATAGATCTGATCCGTGAGTTTTTTTGCTGTGTTTTTTGCAAGATACGGTATAATTTGAGATCTTAATACCATGTGAAAGCAAAACATGCCATTTGTAGCTTATCTCCAACAAAAACAAAATTCATGGTGTTATCCAAATGTGTCAAACTTAACTCATTCACCTAATTTTTACACTGTTTAATTTATGATCGTAATATTTTGAAATATCTCTGGGTTGCAGCTATGTCAAGACCTACCTGTTGCCAGATAAATCAAGAGGTGGGAAGAGAAAAACAAAGATAAAGAAGAATACATTGAATCCAACATTTGATGAATCGCTGCATGTAAGTTTCAGCATAAACTGTAAAGAAAATAAAGAAAATACTGTTTCATGAGTTGGTACCGAGCTAAGCATTCATGGTGAGCAATTCAGTGCATCAATAAATTGTTTTTTAATTAATGTACATGTTGTGATTTATCTGCTGACAGTCACCCACTATCCTGTTTCAGTACACCATCACTAAGAATGAGCTGAAAAGAAGAATTCTATGGTTGTCAGTCTGGCACAGTGTCACTTTTGACCACAATGTGCTCCTGGGTGATGTTGTTTTGCCTCTTAATAAACAGAACTTCAATGACACCTCACCACAGTGGTTCCAGCTATCAGGAGTAAGTTGGAGAAGTTACAGTAGTATTCAAAGCAATGTTAAATATCAATTTTAAAAGCAGGTGGAAGTATATACAGCTACTTTTTAATGATGTTAATTATAATTTACAGACACATTGTGTTAATTTAGTTTGTGAATCCCAAGTTTTTCTGCAATACAGGACCATATGGCTGCTGGGGATCGAGACCAAGGCATTACTTATGTTACTGACCCTCACAGCATCAAAACAACAAGAGGCCAAGTTCTAAACCAGGCTGATGTGGGCAACCAGTGGCAAAGGTCAACATTATTGGAGATATCATTACAACCCAACTTTGACAACCAGCAGGATGACTTCCAATCCCAGACAACAAGGAAGATGGTTGTACAGGGACAATACCAACAAAACCAACCATCATCTCAACCTAATTATAGCAAGCAGTCATTGCAACAAGACAATTTCCAATCTCAGACACTGCCTGGTGAGTCAACAGGACCAAATCAACGCCAAGAAGGACAGGAAAGCAGACTACCTCAGGAACCAGTCACTGACCACCACCTGAATGAACAAGGTGTTGACCACGTTCAAACTAGGAGGCAATCAGGCCATGACTTCCCACCTTTATCTCCACAACAAGACCTTGTGGCTGCTGGGGATCAAGACCAGGCTGTAACTGATCCTCAGACTATCAAAACAATGGGAAACCAAGCTCTTAACCAGGTCCATGGGGATAATCAGTTAGAAAGATTACCTACAGCAGTGACACATGAGATTGCTGGATTTCTAAGTCAGCTCCCCCCTAGCACAGGCAACACAAATGTTACCCTCAATTTTCAGCTGGTTAACCACAATTATAACTCAGAAAAGGAATCATTGACACACATGAAAGAGAAAGATGTGACAACATCTTTTCATAAATATGTACCTCCACATGTGAAAAAACGACTGAATGAAACACTTTCTCAAGATGATATTTGGAACCAAATGAAGAAGATGTATGGCATTTCAGATGAAACCCCACGTCCTCCGGATGTTGTGTCTTATTTGTTGTCTCAAGTTGAGGGTTCTATTGCATCTTTCATCAGTGTGTTGTTAAAGTTAAAGGAACGCCACAGAGAAGGACAACAAGACATTCCACAAAATTTGATTGATGAAGTCAAGGTAATTGACCATTTGGCCTAATGAAAGAAGCAGCTTTTTGTCGTCGCTGTCGATGCCGTCGTCGCCGTCGTGCACTTTTACCCATAACACGATAAGTGGAAAACCATTTTTGCTTTTGGCTTGACACTTACTGAACTGATGAATATTCATAATACGCAGGTCAAGTTCGAAAATCAGCATGATCGGGCCATTTTTAGGGAAGTTATGCTGTTTTTTCACTTTTTTCAGCATATATGCAGCACCGATAACACGATAAGTGGAAAACCATTTTACTTATTGGCTTGAAACTTACAGAACT